AGGATAGAGGCCTGGTGCATGGGGGGGGGCTGGGTGGTTTGCCCTGAAAGGGGTCCTGGATTAGGGTGGGGGTCCCCACTGGGGTGCCTGGCCAGCCTAGGTGAGGGGATGATAGCTGTTGCAGCTGGTCACACCCCCTGCAGGGTGGGGGTCCCCACTGGGGTGCCTGGCCAGCCTTGGTGAGTGGCTTAGGACCGTTTTCAGGCTGGTGGGTGACTGAAGCTCCCAACCACTCCTTTTTTTCTTTTTTTTTTTAAATTCTGGGCCAGCTTTAGCTCTGAGGCTCCAGCTCTTAGGCCTCCACTGTTGAAAGCAGGTATCTGGTTTGTTTGGGTTCTATAATCGAAACAATGTATAACTCCAGCTCTGTGATCCTGGGCTCTCTAAAAGCAGGTTTCTGGGGTTTTGTTTAGCTTCTATATTTGTTACAGTGTTTCTTAAACTGCAGGCTCAGAGGCTGGCAAGGCCGGCGGGGAATGTTGCAGTCCTCCGTCACTGAAGCAAGCAAGCCTCATGTTTGCTTTAAGCTGCCTGGCTGCCGGCCTCCATCTGGCTGGCAGTTAATTTGCATATTGCCCTGATTAGCCAATGGAAAGGGTAGCGGATGTATGGCTAATTACCATGTTTCTCTTTTATTAGATAGGACTAGTGGCCCAGTGCACGAAACTCTTGCATGGGGGGTGTTCCTCAGATCGACCTTCCCTCTCCAACCTGGGACCCCTCAGGGAATGTCCGACTGCTGGTTTAGGCCCGATCCCTGTGGGCCTAAACTGACAGTCTCACATCCCTCTTGCAATACAGGACAGCTGGCTCCAAACTGCTCACCTACCTACCTGCCCGATTGACTTTAACCACTCTGCATGCTAGTCTGGTCACAACAACTGCACCCCACCCCACCGCTGGCCTGATCGCCCCCAACTGCCCTCCCCAGGTGGTCTCCCAGTCTATAATTAGCACATTACACTTTTATTAGTATAGATTAGTATTACACTTTACATTTTCTTTGTTATTTATTTATTTATAAAATTTCATTACAGGATTCAAAAGAAAGAGTATATAATGAAAAGCATGTGACTTGATTACCCTGATCTCACCCACTTCTTCCAAGTAGGAACTGATATTACTTCTTTCAGGGCTCCTATACATATTCAATGTGTACACATACATATGATTGCACACAGGAATTACATTTTTCCTGTAAACACATTATACACTTCTTGTGCACCTAATTTTAAAATGTATTTTTAAGATTGTTGTATATTTATAAAAATGGAGTTGAATTCTCTATTTACTGGATGCATAATATTCCACCATATGCAAATGTTAAATTTATATTACCAATTTATATAGATGAATTCATTAGTAGTTTCCAGTCTTTTGCCATTTACAGTGATAACTTGATTAATTGTAAGTATATTTATTCAAAAATGTACTGGTATGTTTCATTAAGGAAACATGCTATATCAAAGCCTATGGGCATTTATCCTATCTAATGAGGGCTAGGCATTGATATCCTTTAGTAGGCACTTTTCATGTTTAAGACTTGGATAAATGAAATCAAAACAAATACACACCAAAAACAAGCCATAGCATATATCCACATTCTATACTTCATTTCAAAGGAGAACTATTTATCTTTAAATAGTGAGCCAAAACCTCTCAAAACATTACTAAAAAATTTACCAGATGCACAACATATTGAGTCAATTTCACTGGCAAGTCTCTCCATGATTTGTGTCATCAAGGGACTATTATCACTTTGAGTACTACCAATCATATTTCTCAAATGATTGATCTCTGCATTCATCTCTTCAGATTTCTTTTTAAATCCTTCTCTAAGCAAATCTTCTTGAACCTAAAAAAAGTGAGAAGGGAAATAAACATTTTAAATTCCCATGTTTTTCAAAAATTACATTTTATATTTAAGAATTCTTTCCTTCTACTCTTAAAATTGTTCTCACTTATACAACCAAAGATAATTTTTCAACAAGGAATAATTCTGTCTTGGACCTAAATACTGAAAGAAAGCATAGTTTACAGTCTTTCAAATATTCACATATCCATAGGGTTTTGCTAGGATGTTAAGCCAAGCCTGAGGACAAATGTACTATGTGCCAGTCATAATACCAGTTGAGAAGTAACATTAATCTGCTCATACTAATTCTCAGTCCCACTTGGAATAATATGACCAACCAAAATGCAGAAAAAAAATGGGAAATTATACATATTCTAGAACTCTATTATGAACATGTACAGATAGCCAATCAGGAATGCTTCCTTTGCTATATGATAACTTGGGTAGACTCTCCATACTTGGGAACAATGCAGCAGGTTTGAAGCTGTCACATCCTTGTTCTTTTAATCTGGACATTTCTGATAGTTTATTGTCACCAAAGATCTACCTTAGAGTCTTTAGGTGGTAATAGGGTTCCTGATAATAGGCAATGATCTTGGTAAAGCAAACCAGTTGATGGTAATAACAAATACATGTATTTCAAATACCTATTTATTCAGTCCAAATAAGATCATTTCCAAATAACCTAAAATATCACCTCAAACCCTATTTATATTCTACAAGTATTCAGAGATGAGACGCTTGTCCTGACCACTCCAGAGTGTATGCACAGAGTAGATTTCAAAGATACTTTTTACAAAGAAAGGGGACAAGGGGAAGATTCAAGGTTTTAGCAAATCACAAGTAGTAAATGGCAATGGTGTTGCCTCCATGGTCTTGCTGTAACATTCTGCATCCCACCTGAGGTACCAGGACAATGACCATGGAGCACTACTGAGGCCATGGCAGGACTTACCTTTAATTTATGCTCCAATATCATATTCTGCTCTCTTAATATATTCTCTCGTTCCCTCTCCAGCTTCTCCTTCAGTTGCAATATATTTTCCTCCCGACTCCTCTTCTGTGCCTCCATTTGCTGCTCCTGCTCCTGTAGTTTCTGTCTCAGCAGCTCCTGTTCCTTCTCAGCTGCCTCCTTTCTGGCCCGCTCCGCTGCCCCAGGGAGGTTTGACAGAGGAAAGAAAATTAGGTGAGTACTAATCTCTACCTTCCTGAGCTCTGAGAACAAAACAAACTGGTAAGGGAGGTGGAAGATCCTGAATTGCTCCCTTGCCACACCATCAAGAGCTCATATCAGAGTGTGATGGGAAAGGCCCTGGCTGGCTGATGTGCCCTGGTGTTTTCAGAGTTAGAGAGTATGTCCCACAGAAGATGAGAAAGCTCCTTGTGTCAGGAAGATTTGTTCTCACAGCTGTCAAAGGACAGTGCAGGTACCTGACACTCATTGTGAGCCCTGCCTTTACCCTTACCTGCTATGGCCTTCATCTCCTCTGTGAGCCCTTTGTCTCCCTGCAGGATGGAACTCTCTGTTGCTGCCTGCGACTGCAGGAACCTCTGGAGAACCTCATGTGCCTGAGGAGACAAGAAGGAACAAAGAACTTTGATTTTCCCTGGGAAAAATAGTGCTGCAAAACGAAGTATGTCCATGTAATTTTCCCTTCATGATTAAAACTGCATCAGCCCTACCGGCTCAATAGATAGAGCATCAGCCAGCCTGCGGACTCAAGGGTCCCAGGTTCGATTCCGGTCAAGGGCAGGTACCTTGGTTGCGGGCACATCCCCAATAGGGGGTGTGCAGGTGGCAGCTGATCGATGTTTCTCTCTCACTGATGTTTCTAACTATCCCTCTCCCTTCCTCTCTGTAAAAAGAAAACAATAAAATACATTTTTTAAAAAACTGCATAATGATTTCACAGTTTCCAAGCTCCTTAGAGGGACTAGAGCTCTTCATACTCCCTGCAGTCTCTCTCCCAGTAATACTTTCTTCTCTTCACTCTGCGTTCCGGACAGTGAGACCATGTTCCGTTCTACAAACCCACTGTCTCTGGTGTTTTTGTATATTTGCTTTCCAGGGAGAAACATTGTCTCCAATTAGTGCTCCTGCTCTCCTTTACCACTTGCTGACTGTAACTCTAGGCAAGTCATTTTAACCCATTTCTGCCTCTCAGTTCAGATGTGTAAAATGTTGAAAAAAGTATAGATGCATCCTAATGCTATATAAAGGATAATAATTCAAATTCTAGAGAAAGAGCTCAATATTATGTCTTAACAGTAAGAGCTCAATAAATACTAATTGCATTGTCATTTAATGTTATTACTTGTATCATCACCTACGTAGCCAATTATCTCAGGTTGATAACTATGATAACCCTGTGTTAGCAATTGTCTACATGTTTGACTTCCTTTTCTCTTTTGATCTGTCTTAAACACAAAGGCTCTGACTTTACCTTGTAAATTGCCTGGCTTTGACACACTGAATATAATATTGTTGGATGGAAAATGATTATTTCTCCTGTGTCTCTTATGGATTTCAGAAATCTATATTCATTTTTGAGAATGGGCATTTTGATTCTCTATAGAAAGAAAGACAAAATAACTGGCCTTCGATGCTAAAACAGTCATGATATCCCCATGTTCCCATATTACCCACAACTGATGCCATGATCGATTTCCAGGAGACCTTCTTGACTTTAATCTGTAGGACCTCTATGCTCCCCTTATTCCTCACCTTCAATCCTTTCCTGGGCACTTGCCAGTAGTCCTGTTCAATCCTTTCCTTTGTTTCCATGTAGAGCTTGTGACCACCAGGAACAGAGAAAATGCCTGCTGAAATACCTTCCATGAGAGACTTGGAAAGCTGCTCAAGTTTTTCCTGGCAGAATTTAACAGATGCCTCTTCATTCTGCAGCAAGATCTTATCCTGCTTATCCTTTATGATTTCCTGAAAGGGAAGTATAGAGGGCTGTCACCAGGAGAAAGGAACAGAGGAGAAAAAGTTCCAAAGAACCTGGTGGAAGGAAGTCTAGCTGTGGTCTTCATGAGAAAGGCATTCTGTTGGAGAAGGACATGGAATAAAACAGGAATTACAAGGTTTCCTTTACTCACAACCCTGAAAATTCCATGTGAGGCAGGGGAAAGCTTCTAACCCACTTGGGTCTCAGGTTCTTCATCAATAATATTGGTGTTGAATTATCTTATCTCTATGGCTCCTTGTAGCTGTTACTTTTGTTAATTCCATCTTCAATGACAAAATGATACAACAAGGAGCCATAGGAGTTGAAAGTAGCCTGGTATGAGAATCTGTTAAGAGACATTTTGTTCCTGAGAATGGCAGAGTGTCTTCAAGAAAGTGACTAGCCAAGGAATGACTTGGATATTCAGGGCAGGCTTGAATTCAATATAAGTATGCAGTTCAGAAAGATGTCTATGCTAATTATTCATCAGAGACCAGATAAATTTTTATATAAAGTACCTGAGGTTTGTTGGGAGGGGAAGAAGAAATTGCAGTCTTTTGAACTCTGTCCCTCATAAGAATCCAGACTACTCGATCCATGAGTGAGAGCGGAGGACTGGGGTCAGAAAAGATCTTCCAGGTTTAATTTACAATGGAAAGGTCTCAAAGGGTAAATAAATACTAAGGCAAAGTACCACAAGATTCTTCTGGAACGCCTGGTTGTCATCCTTGAAGGAGTGCTCCATGAAGATTGCAATGGCTTCCCTCTCACAGGCTGTGTGCAGGTCCAGCAGCTCCTGTAGGGTGTCTGTGGGGAAGCTCACTCTCTGGGCCATCTGCTCACTGTAGTGGTTGGCTGCCTTCTGAACAGCTCTGGAGTTCTCAATTTGGGCCAGAGTTGTCATCGCATTCTCCAAACATGGCACTGATCCATTGTTGATGGCATCCACATAAGTCACCACCAGAGTCCTAAGTCCTAATAAGCCAGGAAATTTAAGGGATAAATATCAATTTATCACTCAATGCGATCCATTTATGTGAGATTACATTTCTAAATGTCTCTTTCTGCCTTTCTGTCTCTTTCTGTCACACACAAACACACATATATGCACACACACACACATACACACAAACTCACCACTTCCTTCTACTATTATTGTAGTATACAGTTAGTTGGATATTAACAAGTGACCAGGGAGCTAATGAAATCAGAGTCCGATAAAGCCTGATTAAGTAGGAAAAAACAGCCTTACAGTCACCCTGGGGAGTTCCAAGATGAAGAAAAATGGCGCAGAGGTAAAATTTCTATACTAAGTACCTGTGAGGTAAGAGCCAAATAACCAAGTGGAACTAAGAAGCATGTGCAAAAAGAGACAAAATTCAGACCATAAGTGACGGACGGCACAAACCTGGAAAAATCTGGGAAAAGATTGCATAGGGGAAGGGTACAAGCCCTGAAGAAGACAGGAAACAGATTGGATAGTTGTGAAGAAAGGCTGCCCTTTTCCAAACCCAAAAATAAAAATGGGGAAGGTTCACAAATACCCCAGGGCAGTATCTGCCCACTAGCCTGCCAGCTCTCTGTCTCCCTGAGAGTGTACTTTGCTTTTCACTTTAATAATCCTTGCCATTATCACGTAAAACTCCTCCTACATAAGGGTCCCTCAAATTCCTTTCACACAACACCACAGAAGAACGTATTTCCTCCAGTAACACTATTATCCCATTGACTCTTAATTTGTATGTTTCTTCAGACCACAAGGCTAACATAATTCAATATTAATCTTTATCTAACACACTAAAGGATATCTGGAAAACATAATTTCCCGTTGAAAATCTTAGGAGCAAATTGTAGACAGATGAGGCAGGGTAAATGTGATCCTATTTTTTTCTGAATTCTCAAGATTCCCATAAGTTTTCAGAACTTTATGGGCTAATGTGCATTATTAAATTGGTCTAAACACCCAAAATATCCTCTGTATGCCTCTTGCAACTCTCATCTTATCTAATAAAGAGGGAATATGCAAATTGACCATCATGCTGTAATGGTCAAGATGGCTGCGCCCACAGTGGAGGCCAAGTTCCCATAACAAGCCTTAACAAGCAATCAGCAGGGACCTGAGGCTGCACCCCCCACCTGGTGGTACTTGACAGGGGACCTCAGGCCATGCCCTCTTCCCCAGTATTGAGCCGGGGGACCTCAGGCTGCGCCCCCACCCTGGCGCCAAGCTGGGAGACCTAAAGCTGTACCCCTTGCTGGGCAGGGCTTGACGGGGGACCCCAGTACACATCCCCCACTGGGCAGAGCTTGACAGAGGACATCATGCTGCACCTCCCCACACACACAGTAGGGCTTCACTGGGGACCTCAGGCCAAGCCCCCAGCCCTGGCGCCAGTCTGGGAGAGCTCAGGCCATGTCCCCAACTGGCAGTGCTGGATGGAAGAACTCAGGCCACATCCTCCGCCCTGGGACCGGGCCAGGGGACCTGAGGCCACCCCCTGAACCCGGTGCCAGGCCAGGGACCTCAGGCTGCACCCCCCCAATGGCTTGACGGGGAACCTCAAGGCATGCCCCCCACCCCAGGCCAGGCCAGAGGACCTCAGGCCACGCACCCTGTCCCAGGCAATGGGACCTAAGGCTGCAACCCCTGCCCAGTGGGGCTTGACAGGGGACCTGAGGCTGCACCCCCCAACCAGCGGGGCTTGACGGGAGACCTGAGGTTGTGCCCCCCTCCCTGGAAGGGCTTGATGGGAAAGAATCTTGCCCCATGGGGGTGGGGCCAGCCAGGTCTGAGGTATGCGCGGTTGGGCAGGGACTTGACTCTGGGTCCCACAGTGCAAGCCCCAGAATCTGACAGGAGGGAGATTTTCATATACATTTTACTAATTTTCTTTCATCTCTGACACCTCTATTATAAAGGGCAAATAGCAATATTAAAATATTTCCTCTAATTAATCCCCTTTTATGGTGCACAAATTTCATGCACCAGGCCACTAGTA